GTGTTGGGAAAGTATTGTCAGGGAAATTATTGTCAGAGAAATGGTTATGTCGGAGAAGTGGTTATGTCAGGGAAAATTTAGAGTTTAAGTCTAGTTTAATCCTAAACTAAACTAGACCCAGATTGAACTCAGACTAGATCAAGGAGTACTAATGCTAAAATTAATAATTTATTAAATTAGTTAATAATAAATATATAATATTTTTTAAATTAAATTAATTAAACATTATAATTATAATATTAATATGAAAACTAATTAATTTATATTATTTAAATAATTTGTTAATACTTACCTATTGCATTTGTGCATAATAAAACTGTGATTCTTTGTTTATCTTTTTTAATTCCTGGCATTGCTTTTTTACCTAAAGATCGTGAAGGCTCCATTTTCCAAAATAAACCTGTCTCATCACAGTTAAATATATTTTCTAAAGGCCAATCTTCAAGTAAATTTTGTAAATTATTACGATATTCAGGTAAATTTTCAAGAGGTGCACTGCTAGCTTCTCCATGGCGCTTAAATTCATGTAATCTAGTACGTTTTTTGAAATTAGAGAGCCAGCCTTCAGAAGCTTTAAAATTATTAATACCAAGAATATTTGCAAAATTTTGAGCTTGAGTAGATAATGTATAACCAGAAATTGTTAATTTAGCCTCCAATGCTCGATCAACCCATAAAGTTAATGCTTTTTCAATTTCCACAAATTTTGGAGATCTATTTTTTTGCAATTGAGCTTCATAGCTATTTAAATCAAGTTCTAACCAATGATCGGAATTTTTTAAAATATCACTGACTGAATTTGCACTAATATTAAATTGTTTGGCTAATTAAATATTAGTTAAATTTGGATTTGCTTGTTTCATTAAACATAGCTCTTTTTTTTGAGAACCTTTTAATATAGTTCTTTTTTTAGAAGTAATAGTTTTAGATGTATTTTTTTGTTTGTTTCGTTTCATAATTTTTTAAACTTAAAGATTGTAATAACATAGGTTAAAGAGTTTAATACATACGGTAAGTATAATTATGAATATGTAATACGCAAATTATTTTTATATTTTATTTGATCATATGAGTGATACAGTACAAAAATAATGTTACACTTTAGGTGAGGATCTATCTGATTTGGAATCTGACTGTTTCTAATAAAAATTAGAGTAACTAAATTTGGAATTTTTATATAAAGAACCCAGTTGCCTATCTCTTTCCTAACACTCATTTCCCCGACATCATTTTTTCCTGACAAAATTTCCCCTACACTTATTTCCCAACATAACAATTTTACAAACATATAATTACCCGACAATACTTTTCCAACACCTACAATACTATTTTCCTTGACAATATTTTCCCCAACAATATTTTCCCTGACATAACCACTTCTCCGACATAACCATTTCTCTGACAATAATTTCCCTGACAATACTTTCCCAACAC